TATGTTTAAAATTTTTTGTTTGTTGAAATTTTATTTGGGGGAAATGTTGGGGGGGGGGGGGGTTCATCTATTCATTCTTGGTACGACGGAGTGTTAGGGCCATGCCAAGAAAATAATAAACAATAATAAAAATTACAAAAATAAAGTTATAGAATTATGACTTTATTCTCCTTATTTCAACTTTTTACTCGTACTTTACTAGAAATACTATAACTTTATTTTCATTATGTTTTACTTTACTACTTTTCCCATGTAATTTTAACATACCTCTAGTAAAATTGCATCTTTATTCTAATATTATGACTGTTCTTGTAATAAAAAAAAATGCCCTAATACTCCGTCGTATAACTAAGCAGAAGAGATGATTGAAAAACAAGCCACTTTTTGAAAAGATTTTCTAGCAGTTGTAGTTTATTTTTCAAAAATGTAAGCAGTTAAAAAAAAAGTCAATTAAAATTAGGAATCAGATCAAGTATGGAAAAAATCTGATTTTATTTTTGAGCCATATCGCCCAGCCCTGCAATAATGTAACAACCTACCATTGTGTACTTTTAGGTTTTAGAAATTACACAAAACGCTTTGCTTTATATCTAGATGATGAAATATTACTCTGAAAGCTTATTGTTATCATATTTATGCAGAATAAAAGCATGTTCTCTGAATTGCTTGTGGTGTTTGAGCTTTGATCTATTTAAAGAGATAGTGTTCATTTTAAAGTTCACTGTGTTCCCCGGCATAAACACGGAAGTGGTGAAGCTTCCTGTGTGCGGATGAGGTTTCATTATGTCTATTTAAGAGAATGTGTTGAAACATGAAGTCAGATCATATATTGACAGTTTCTTTTTTATTCAACATCACATTACATGATGACTTATTTAACTGAAACAATAAGATCATCAGGCTAATCTTGATTTACAAAACATAAACACATGTCTTGCTCTTTGCATCTAATAATGGTCATCATCTGACTCAAACTTTGACGAAATAAAACACAAGGTACAGCAGGCTTTGCAAGGTCAAGACAAATAAATGGAGAAATGTAAAAACATACAACAAAAGTCAAACAGAAGGAATAAAACTCTGCATTAATGCGTTACATTGGAAATATAGAGATGATCCACCTACAGAGGGCCGCATTTTCTTAACCTGGTTCAAGACAGATAAAGAATTGAGTCAAAAACAACAACAAAAAACACACATTTCATGAGATTTACCAACACAAGGTAGTGTAAAAATTAGAAAGAGGAAAATTATACATGATTTTCATAGGGATGTGCATAACGAACATTTATACTTTTAATACATTGCTAAAATGCGGTAGCACACATTTCCAAGCCGTATTTAAACGCACCATTTCCAAGCCGTATTTAAACGCACCATGAGCATACACATGCTAACATTGTGTGTCAGAACCATGCTTAGCAAACCAGCAAGAACTAACAATGTTGTGTTTTTTTTTTCAAACAAACCATGTAAGTTGAGTAATTCTGTTGCATACTAATAATGTTAGCTAGGTGATACTAATATATCATGTTAACCTAGTTAACAAGAGTGCTAATGTTGTTGTCTATGTTACATCCCTTGCTAGTTAGTTCATGCTAGCAATACTTTGTAAACAAATAATCTGTATATTTAATGCTAGTCGCAGGATCCCAGAAAGTCAGTTGCAAGGTTTTATCATACTAACCTTTGTAACCGTTACCAAGGCCAGCATTCAGTCCATCATATTTACCAGTCTGCTCCACTGTGAAAATAAAACACCCCAGTTTAAAGTCATTCAAAGTAAAATTGAAATCTGAAAACGGTTTAATCCAGAACTCCAAAGAAAACACACAAACATTTTTTCCCTCACTGTCTGGAGTTAAATACGACAAAATTTCTCTTGTTTTAGGTCAGTTGGAGTTACAAAAATAATTTCTATTCGCTAAATGCCAGAATAATGAGAGAAAGACCAGAGCTGGGTAGAGCAACCAAAATGTGTGCTCACGTAAGAG